TCTGGTCCTGACCCGGTTCTGTACCTGACCCGGTTCTGGTCCTGACCCAGTTCTGGTTCTAGTCCTGACCCAGTTCTGGTTCTAGTCCTGACTCGGCTCTGGTCCTGACCCGGCCTGGTTCTGGTCCTGACTCGGGTCTGGTCCTGACCCGGTTCTGTACCTGACCCGGTTCTGGTCCTGACCCAGTTCTGGTTCTAGTCCTGACCCAGTTCTGGTTCTAGTCCTGACTCGGCTCTGGTCCTGACCCGGCCTGGTTCTGGTCCTGACTCGGGTCTGGTCCTGACCCGGTTCTGTACCTGACCCGGTTCTGGTCCTGACCCGGCCTGGTTCTGGTCCTGACCCGGCCCGGTTCTGGTCCTGACCTGGTTCTGGTCCTGACCCGGTTCTGGTCCTGACCCGGTTCTCTGCAGCTACCGGACCCGTGAGGAGATCCAGGAGGTCCGGAGTAAGTCCGACCCCATCTCTCTGCTGAAGGACAGAATGCTCAGCAACAACATGGCCGCCGCCCAGGAGTTCAAGGTCAGAGCAGAGGTCACCCACTCTGAGGGACGGTTCCCACTCTCTCCTCCCCTCCTCCTTCCTTTCCTTCTTCACTTTCTTTTCCTCCTTCACTTTCTTTTCCTCCTTCCTCCATTTCCTCCTTCACTTTCTTTCTTCTAACCTTATTTCTTTCCCTTCTTTCCTCCCTTAATTTTCTTTCCTCCCTTCATTTCTTCCACTTCCTTCCTTGTCCTGCCTCCTTCCTTCCTCTCCTCCTTAGCTTCCTTAAATTCTCCATTCCATCTTTCCTCCCTCATTAATTTTCCTTTTTTCCTTCCTCACTTCCTTCCTTCCTTTCTTTCCTCCTTTCCTTCTTCCTTCCTTATTTCTTTTCCTTCTTTCCTCCCTTCATTTCTTCCACTTTCTTCCTTTCCCTGCCTCCTTCCTTCCTTTCCTCCTTAGCTTCCTTAATTTCTTCCTTCCATCTTTCCTCCCTCAATTTTCCTTCTTTCCTCCTTCACTTCCTTTTTTTCTTTTCTTTCTTTCCTTCATTTCCTTCTTCACTTCCTCCCTTATTTCTCTTCCTCTCATTTCTTCCATTCGTCCTTTCTTCTTTTTTCCTCCCTTCATTTCCTTCTTCACTTCCTTCCTTCCTTATTTCTTTTCCTTCCTTCATTTCATGCACTAACTTCCTTCCTTTCCTCCTTAGTTTCCT